CCCCGTCCCCCATCACTGTGCCCCGCCAGCCGTGAGGACGCACCAGGAGTGTGGAGCTCACAGCGACGATGTTGGAGATGGCATACTGCAGGGAGACGGTGTCCTGGGGGTTGGCCACGTAGCGCAGCACGGTCCCGTGGACCAGGGCACTCACAATGAAGTTGAGGTGGCCGATGACGATCAGGATGAGCCCTGTCTTCATCAGCAGCTTCTGGTGCCCGCCAGGGTCAAGGTTGTCTGTGCGAGAGACGGGGTCAAGCCTTGGGAGTGACCCCGGCAGCAACACAGGGGCCCGGGACACGTACGCACACGGAGCGGCGCCTCGAAGTCCCGCCGGCCTCGGGCACCGAGCGCAGTGAGGCCAGGGCTGGGCAGCCGCCCCGACATCCGGGCGTCAGGGAAGGTGCGTGAGCTCTGGCTGAGCCTATCCAGCCCCGTGGCTACCCACCTCAGCTGCTCCCTGCCATAAAGCAGAGCCCGAAGCCCTGCCTGAGGGTGTGGGGGGCTCACGGTCACCCCCGAGCCACGTTGGCAGGAGCAGGCTGGGCGCTCCCCTGGCCCCGTGACCCCCGGCTGGGCAGAGGCACCAGCTGGCTTTGGCAAGCCCACAGCAGGTGGGCCACAAGGAAGTGCCATCACTCCCTATAAAACCTGATTGCTTTAAAGATTAACCCATCGCCAAACATCCAGTCCTGAAATATCCTTCCCCACCCCACCCCACGTGGCTGGCAAGCCAGGCCCGTGCTGCGCGGGGAGCTCGGGGACTCCCCTGAGGGCTTCAAGACAGGTTTCTCCTGCAGAAACCTGGGAGCTACGGGGTGGGACCAAGATTTGTGCCGCCTGCTCACCTAGAGCAGGCCGGGACCCGGTGCAGAGAGCTGTGCCGTAGGCGAGGGGGCCCCCTGCTTTCTGGGGCTCCTTCACCCAGCACCTCTCATCCCACCACCCGGGGCCACAAGCTTGCAGCGTGCAATGGCCGGTGCCCTCGTTTCCCTTCCTGGCTCCGTGCTACCTCGAGCAAACGGTGCATCCCGCGCCTCGGCTTCAAGGCCGTGCCATGCACCTGGGCTCCTAGGGAGAGGCGTTCAGCTAGCTGCGCCCCCAAGGTCCTCGGGCAGCACGGGCGAAGCAAGGAGGGCAATGCTGTGGCCTGGGGGTCTGTTCCCTGCCCCTGCAGCCTGGTGGGTGATGCCTGCAGGGCCAGCACCACGGGGAGACCGGGGCCCAAGGCTCGCACTGGGCGTGGGGCTCCCCTGGCTACAGCCCCTTGTTTCCTGCCCCCTCTGTCCAAGGCGCCTCTTTCCCCACAAGACCCCACTCACCGAGCCGACACATCTTCGCAGTGGGGATCAGGCCATGGCTACTCTGGCGTCCATCCCCTGGGGGAGCCTTGCAGGCAGGCCGCGCTCCCAGCTCCTACCTGCGCGCTCCGCCATGCAGGTGCTGCACCCACCTTCCCCACCAACCTGCAGCAGGATCCGCTCTTCCTGTCCGACCAGCTCCCCCGGCTGGGAACAAAGGGCTAAACTCCACCTTCCCTGCCCCAGGAAGGGTGATTCACAGCTCAAACCCCACCCACCGCTGCTCCCAGCTCCTGCCTGTAGTTGTCTAGGTATGTGGGCCTCTCCCCAGCACCCGGCGGGACCAGCCCTCCGGCACCTGGCAGGGACCCCGGCTTCCCACCCACGCCTCTGCTCCACGTTTCTTGGCCTGCAGCCAAGGGGCAGGCTGCAGCATCACGGGATGGAGTTCACGTGGGCACCGTGGAGCCGCTGCACAAACCGGCCCTCACAGCGGGCACTTCTCCAGGCCTGGCCCAGCTCGGAGGGCAGCTTCGTACTGTCCCCCTTGCCCCTACCAGCTGCTCCACGCTCTCCGCCGGCCCCAGTGAGTCCGTGCACGTTGCTCTGCAGCCCCCGGCATCTCAGCACCAGTCCCTCGCTCGGGGGAGCAAAGCGGCAGCTCCCCGTGTACTGCTGAGGCACCAGAAATGCCATCCCGACGCACTCCTCTCCCCCTGGAGCATGCGCTGGAAGGCAACTGCATCCCAACTCCAGCCAGATGCTTTAAAACTGGCTGGGAGGATCGCTCCCTGATTTTTGAAAGAGCCCTTCCCTGGGTCCCAGAGCAGCGCCCTCCGGCCATGCCTCTCCGCAGCTCGCAAACCCACCTGAACAGCGGCCAGGCCTGGCAGAGCAGCCGGCCATGGAGATAACAGCAGTGATGCTTGCCCCCTGCGTGCAACCCCCTAATCTCGAACCCAGTGCAGAGCAAGCCTCTCTGGGGGAAAGCCAGGAGTCGGGCGGCTCTCGGGCCAGCAGCTGCAGCATCGCAAATCCCGGGCGGAAGGAACCGCGGCACAGGGAGACGCGAGGAGCTGGTTCGAATGGAGGATTCATCCTAGCAGAAAAGGGTGCACGAGGGGGAGGGCAGAGCTGCTCCAGGGAGGCTGGAAGAGCGAGGAGAACACCTCCGAGGGCCAGACGAGAGAAACCGCTTAGGAAAAGAGCGGCGCGGCTGGGGAGAGCGGCGCACGGCCTGTGCCCTCGAGGCTGCGACACAAGGTGCAGCGGAGTGGGTAAGTGGTAAGTGTGGTTTGCAATGCTGAGGCTTTGGACTCGGAGCCCCTGCTTGTCCCATCCCTTGGGGACAAGCATAAGCCACCAGGCCACCGCTGTCACTTGGGAGCTCTCCCCTTCCCGCCAGCCCAGGCTCCCTCAATCTCCGGAGCAGTGCTCCCGAGTCCTCCACACCCTCCCCACACGTGGGGCAAGAGCTCCAGCCCCGAGCTGCGCAGAAAGGCCCCAAACCGAGCCCTCCGACAGCACAGCCCGAGGCCTGGGGCAGGCAGTCACCGAATGCCTGTGGGCTCCAAGGGGACCACAGTTTCCCCTCTGGGGCCTGCCTGCCTCCAGTACGGCCTACTGCAAAGCTTAGAGCTTGCAAGACAACCAAAGGCTTCCTAAGCCAAGCCCGCCCAAAGCAGAGGTGCAAGGACTTTGCAAAGAGCTCTGGCACGAGGCAAGCGGCAGTTTGGCTGAAGAGCAAGCCGCCCACAGCTCCAGCCGAGCTCCATGCCCAACACGATTTGCTCGGCCGCCTCCTGCTCCAGTGCACCTGATGCTCAGTGCCTGGCGTGTGCGTCCCCCCAGCTGGGGCATTGTCCCTGCCTGGCTGGCATCGCGCTTTGCTCCCTCCCTTATGACTGGTGCCCGGCTTGCCTGGCAGAGGTGGCTGCTAGTGAGCTAAGCACAGGGAGAGGGGTTAGGATCAGGGACAGCTCCCTGCTGGAAGCCAGCTTTGCCTTGCCAAGAAGGGACAGGAGAGGGAAGGATGTGGTTTGGGACATGTGGGATCTGCAGGTTTTGCACAGACACCCTCTGTTACCGTCTGTGCCTGGCCCCACATAGGTGTAGCTCCCTCCGAGTCAAAGCCCCGCACCCAACCTGGAATCACTGAACAAGGCCTAAGAGCATAAATGCCTTCAATGCCGGCAAGCATCCCTGGCCCTCGTAGGTCAGGCCTCGTCTCCTCCAGGCCGCTGCTGCACGGCCCCTTCTCTTAGCTTCACCACATCCCAAATCCCCGCTGCTTCCTAGGTCTGTAGGGACAGGTCTCACACAGCTTCCCTTGCAGTTCCTCCTGCCACCTACCGGTGCTGCAGCCGAGGAGCGCAGTTGCAGAGCCACAGTCTCTGATCGGGCTTCGAGATGCTCTCTGCAGCGCCCGTGGGGGAAGACGACACACCGAGGGTCTGCATTCCAGCAACAGGCACAGCTGAGGGCGTGGAAAGCAAGAAGCCGTAGCCCAGCACAGTACCTGCACATCATGTGCGTCTATATGTAGTTGGGAGGGCTTAGTCCCCCCATCCCCAGCTCTGTGGGGTGGGCTGTTGTGCTGTGGGGAGTTCCCCCAACATGCTCCCCCATTCTCTCTGCACATGCACCGATTGTGCTGCTGCTTCTGGGGTGGGGAAAGAGGCAAAGGAACGGGGAGGTGTTTCTGTCTGGAGTCTGCAGCGTCAGTGCCCACACACTGCAGCCCCTCCACACAGCCCCATGCCAGGGGAGAACACTTACCTGACTGAGGCGGGAGCCCATACCCATCTGTCCAAGTAACCCAGCTTAGTCCACAGAGTGGCAGGCCTCTCACCACCGATGCTCACAGCAGCCAAGCTCAGAGCGCTTGGCTAGTCCCACTCCATCCCTCCTCTCATTAAGGCCACAGGACTTTACAGCATGATCAGCTGTAGCTGCATGGCTGGGTGGGGAGCAGAAGAGAAAGACGACAGTGGCTTATACAGGGACCAAGTCTAACACCACACTGCTGCCGTTCTCTGTGCAGCCACGGAGGAGATGGCATTAGCACGGGGGGCTGCGCCTGCTCCTGCCTGCCTGGATGATGGGATCATCATTGCTGCTGTGTCATAGCCATCCTGCATTTCATTGGGGTCTCCCCACTCTACAGAGGACATTTGCTGCCTCCTAGCCACTCCAGGAGCAAAGTGGGAGCCAGCTCCCTTGACGTACATCAAGCAGACCGCATGCCATCTGGAGTCTTGCCTCAAACCAGCAATACCTCTAGTCAGGCCTGCAGAGGGCAGCCGGTAGTTCCCTCCGCCCCAGCTCCTAACACTGGATCAAGCAACACACAGCTGGAGAACAAAGCCTGCCCGCCACACCCGCATCTGAACCAGGCCCCTCTGTACCAATCCCACCCTTTTTCCACCCCCTCCATACGGACCCCGCTGGCCACAGCAGCCTTCTCAGAAGCTGGAGGGGGAAGAAGGAACCAAAGCAGGGAGTCGTGGCCCACAAGGCCTTCAGGTCTTACGTCTTGGAGAAGGAAGAGCTGGATGCAAGTCCAATGACAATGGAAGTCTTTATTAAAACAGTCCTTCAGTATGTTTGCAGACACACAGGACACACACATACATATGTACACTCGCACGGAGCACCAACAAGCGTTGGGGTCAATAAATTAAAACAGAGGGAGAAGGGGGGGCTTTGTCACGTAAGAAATGGCATCTCCCCAGGGCCGGGCTGGGGGAGTGACAGAGAATCGGAAACAGAAGCCAGGGAGGACGCAATCCCAGCCCCCGCCCCCAAACGCAGCTACAGCAAGTGTGCTCTTCAGGAAGAGGCAGCTTCATACTCTGGCTTCAATGCACTCCATGTGAGAGAGCACATCATCTGGCCTGCAGCCCTCGGCTTGGGCACAGTGGCTCATGTGGGCACTTGGGCTCTCAGCACCTCTGGCTTTCGGGGTCTGGGGGCAGGCAGCAGTCTGAGAGTGGGGGGACTCGCATTCGTCCGAGGTAATGTCTGGCACGTCGTCTGACTGGCTGTCGGAGCTCTCCAGGTCGCTCCGTATGCTCTCGGGCTGCGCCAGGGTGATGTCCCAGGTTTTGCTGGCAACGCAGTCCTTCTGCTCACAGCTTTGGTGTTTGCAGGTCTGCTCCTGTTCCTCCTCACCTTCCTCGTCCTCCTCTGCCATCTGGGTGTGGACGTGGAGAGAGTCCTCCGTGCTGCTGCCACTCACAAGCTGGTAGTGGCTGGGTTTGGCTTCAATGTCCACCTGGATCTCCATGTTGTTGCATTCTCTGCAGGAGCAAGCACCCCCTCAGTTACTGATTTTACTGCAGGGAGCCTGTGGATCTTAGCACTTGCCAATGCAGCAAGCTTAACTGCACCAAGGCAGAGACCATGGGCAGCATTCACTGCACCACACTACGTGACAGACCAGCAATGGTTTAATCCCTTTTAATGGCAGCCACGACATGACCTCCCACCCCCCCGTTATGGGAAGCAAGCACACAGAGGCAGGCAAGCTAACTGCATTGCCAGTTAGGAACAGGCCTCATCCTCTGGTGTGTATGCACAGTTTGTGTCTAACTGGCCTGTGTCCTCATTCAATGTAAAACTGAGCCAGGGAAACATAAGAGGAGATATGGCCAGGGCACAAGCAATGCTAAGTATGGACATGATACTCCAGACGCAGGAGTGTTTAGCTAGGGCAGACCACGACCGACTGTTCTGGCAGGTTTCTGTTTAATGGAAGCAGAGTCTGTAATCCTAGAAGCAGAGAGTCTGCAAAATCTATTCCTAGGCAGACAATGGGTTTGCACGCGTCAGCATCCCATTGTTTCCAATTACTGACTTTTAAATCGCCCCCAACACAGAAACGAATGACAGAGGCTCCGGGGGAGGCTGCATGGTGACAAGCACCATAGAGATGATGCCCACGGCAGCAAAAGGCACCAATGGCCCTGGCAGCTGCTTGTTTAAGAAACTGGAGCCTCTGCTGTTTGCCACAGGCTCACGCAAAAGCAAGAGCTACTCTAAGGAGGTGTTAAAACAGAGGTGCCAAACTACAGCAGTAGCTGGAAAGGAAAATAGAGGGATCCTTCTCCTCGCACTGAGGTAGGACTAGCTAATAAGAGTCTTCACCCACCCTCCAGCACCAGCCTGCAGGGACACTGTCAGCCCATCCCCCTGCCCCATCGTGGCTGACGTACCTGTCCTGGGGGTTGTACGAGCTGATGATGGAGCCTGCCATCGCCCGAGTGCTGGCGTTGTCACTGATTGCCCCGAGACTGACTGAGTCCTTTGGGAAAATCTCCTTCTGGACATCCGCCTGCACCTCCAGCCTGGGGAAGAGACAGGGAAACACCCAGTCAGCAAAGCCTCTGGGAACCCCTGAAGATCCAGCCTTGTCCCTACAGTCTCAAGACAAGGACCAGTGAGCAGGAGCAGGCAGCCCCCCATGCTAACGCAACTCTACAGCAAGTTTAAACCAGATGCAGCTTGGAGGTCAACCTCTTTCCTGGCTCTGACAACCCAAATCCCTTCCCAAGTCTGTTTCCTGTGACAAAGGTCAGGTTGTGTTTATGCCTGTGACGCATGCAGTTCCTGGGAAGAGCAGATTTCCAGGTTCAGCAGAGT